TTAAGGAACAGCCTGCTACTTAAAATACTCAAAGCTCCCTGCCCCAGGCTGAGCTCCTATAATCTCCATGACCCAACCCACTGGTCTCCTCACCAGGAAAGGGAGAAGGCAGAAATCCCAGATTCACTTCTTCCTTCTTCACTTGTGTGCTAACTCCATAATTAACTTAACCACTTGCTCCCTCGCCATCTCCACGCTCCAAGTCCCTATCTCAGATGTCTTCATCTCTTGCCTGGATGTCTCACTATCTTTTCCCCATCCCCATCCTGTTCTGCTGCTTTCTGATTTGTTCATCACACGAGCTTTTAAAAATGTAGCTTATCACCATATTCTGAATTAAGCTCTTACTGCACTTCACATGAAACCATGGCTCAGAATGCTTGGGTAATCTGGACCCAGCCTACTTTCCTGGCCAATATCTCATGTAGTTATCTCCATTATTCCCTTCTTTTCAGGTTGAGTCCAGGTCAGTGTGTAGCGCAAATATTGTGGATGCTCAAATGAGGGGAGCTGTTATTTTTGCCATTGTGGTAATTATTACTTGCTAGAGGAGCTCAGAATTTCTGACTCTCAACACTACCCATAACCCATATGCTCAGTGTGCTTTTCATGTGTTTATAGATCACTGTATGGCCATCGGTGAAGTGCCTGTTTCAGTGTTTTGCCCAGTTTAAACTTTCGTTTTTATTATTGATTTGTAGGAGCTACTATTCTGGGTATGTCTGTTGTCAGATACATGTTTTGGGAATATTTTCTCTCAGTCTGTAGCTTGCCTTTTCATTTTCCTAACTGTCTTTTGATAAGCAGAAATTTTTAACTTTGATAAAGTCCAATTTATATATTTTTTCTTTTAAGGTTAGTTCATTTGGAGCCACATGAAAAAAATCTTTGCCTTCCCAAGGTTATGAGCATATGGTCTCATTTTTTTTTTCTTCTAGAAGATTTTATTTTCAGCTTTTACATTTAGGTCTGTGATCCATATTGAATTATTTTGGAGTATGGTGTGAGGTAGGGGTATCAAGGTTAATTGTTCCCTTATTGTTCTGGCACCATTAATTGAAAAATAAACTTTTTTTTAAACCCTTGAATTGCAGTGGTGCCTTTGTCATAAAACACTTCACTGAATATGTGGGTCTATTTCTGAACTCTTTTCTGTTCCCTTGATCTGCACATCTACCTTTATGCCAATACTACAGTGTCTTAATTACTGTAGCTTTATGTAGGTAGTCTTAGAATCAGGTAGTGTAAGTCTTCCAACTTTGTTATTCAAGGTTGGTTATTAGGTCCTTTGCATTCCATGTAATTTTTTTTTTTTTTTTTTTTTTT